TGGGATCGAGCCCCGCATCGGGCTCCCTGCTCAGCGGGAAGCCTGCTTCTCCCTCTCCCACTCCCCCTGCTTGTGTTCCCTCTCTCACTGTGCCTCTGTCAAATAAATAAAATCTTTAAAAAAAAAAAAAAAAGGGAAGCCAAACCTTATTCTGAAGTCATTAGTATGAGTATTTCCAAGGGGCAAGACTTAGGTAACATGTTCTAGCCCTCCTGGTAGAGTGAAGAAAGCTGGTGGCTTAGAGCAGAGACAAAGCCAGAGAAGGCCTTTCAAAGTGACAGTTGAAGATAGTGGCATTTCAGTTCCTCCTTTCTTAGTCTAAAGCTGCACTGTGTGATAAGGGGTCCATTTGGCCACACAGGGCTGTTGAGCACTTGAAATGTGGCTAGTGGGACAGAGGACCTGACTTTTTAATAATTTTTTTTATTTTTTAAAGCAATCTCTACACCCAATGTGAGGCTCAAACTTATGACCCCAAGATCAAAAGTCACATGCTCTACCGACTGAGGCAGCCAGGTGCCCCTGACTTAAAAAAAATAATAATTTATTTACTTACTGGGGGTGGGGGGGATATGGCGGGGGAAGAGCAGAGGGAGAGAGAATCCCGAACTGACTCCGCGCTCAGTGCAGAGCCCAATGTGCGGCTCAATCTTACAACCCTTAATCTCAAGACCCTGAGATCATGATCTGGGCTGAAATCAAGAGTTGGACACTTAAATGAATGAGCCACCCAGGCACCCCTGACTTTTTATTTTAATTGTAGTAAAATATACAACATAAAGTTGACCATCTTAACCATTTTCTAAAATCAGTAGTGTTGGGGCACCTGGGTGGCTCAGTCAGTTGGGCGTCTGCCTTCAGCTCAGCTCTATGGTCCCAGGGTCCTGGGATTGAACCATGAATCCAGCTCTCTGCTCAGCGGAAGCCTACTTCTCCCTCTCCCTTCTGCTCCCCCTGCTTGTACTCTCTCTCTCTGTCAAATAAATGAATAAAATCTTTAAAAAATAAAAACATTTAAAAAAATAAAATCAGTAGTGTTAAGTACATGCAATGTTGTTCATGCGATCTCCACAGTTTTTTTGTCTTGAAAGCCTGAAACTCTGTATTTTTTTTTTAAAAGATCTTATTTATTTATTTGACAGAGAGAGAGACAGCGAGGGGACACATGCAGGGGGAGTGGGAGAGGGAGAAGCAGGCTTCCCACCAAGCAGGGAGCCCAATGTGGGGCTCAGGCTTAACGACTGAGTCACCCAGGCACCCCTGAAACTCTATACATATTAAACAATTCCCCATTTCCTGCCTCCCCACAGTCCCTGGCAACATCACCAGTCTTCTTTCTGGCGCTATGAATCTCAGTACTTTTGATACCTCATGTATGTGGATCATGTAGTATTTGTCTTTTTGTGACTGGCTTATTTCATTCAGCATGATGTCCTCGTTTCATCCATGTAGTAGCATGTCTTGAAATTTCCTTCTTTTTTTTTTTTTTTTTTTTTAAGGGCAAGCACAAGCAGGGGAGGGGGCAGAGGGAGGAAGACAGAGAGAATCCGCTGAGCCTGGATGCAGGGCTCAATCTCAGGACCCTGAGATCATGACCTGAGCCACAATCAAGAGTTGGACTCTTAGCTGACGGAGCCACCCAGTCACGCCACAATTTCCTTCTCTTCCTTCTCAGTGAACTAGGTTGCTTCCACCTTTTGACTATTGTAAAAAATGCGGCTATGAACATTGGTGTACAGATAGCTTTCAGACCTTACTTTCAATTATTTTGAGTATATCCAGAAATGTAATTGCTGGATCATATGGTAATTCTTTTTTATTGAGTATTTACCATACTGTTTTCCATAGTGGCTGCACCATCTTGCATTCCTGCCAGCAACACACAAGAGTTCCAATTTCTGGGGCGCCTGAGTGGCTCAGTCATTAAGCGTCTGCCTTCGGCTCAGGTCATGATCCCAGGGTCCTGGGATCGAGCCCAGCATTGGGCTCCCTGCTCAGCGGAGAGCCTGCTTCTCCCTTTCCCACTCCCCCTGCTTGTGTTCCCTCTTTCACTGTGTCTCTCTCTGTCAAATAAATAAATAAAATCTTAAAAAAAAAAAAGAGTTCCAATTTCTTCACATGCTTGCCTTAATTTAAATTTAAATACTGATAATTCAGTTACTGGAAAACTTTTAACTATGTTTGGAACAACATGGATATGTGAATCTACTTTTTAACTGTAAATTTTACAAAATATAAATATACTTTAGGGGCGCCTGGGTGGCTCAGTTGGTTAAGCGACTGCGTTCGGCTCAGGTCATGATCCTGGAGTCCCTGGATCGAGTCCCGCATCGGGTTCCCTGCTGGGCGGGGAGTCTGCTTCTCCCTCTGCCCCTCCCCACTCAGGTGCTCTCTCTCATTCTCTCTCTCTCTCAAATAAATAAAAAATCTTTAAAAAAAAAAAATATATATATATACTTTCGTTATTCCCAATAAAAATTTAACATCTGTATTCAGATGTGCTGTTCAGTAGAAAATACACACCAGCTTTCAAAGATTTAATCCAGTAAAAAATAATATAAACTGTTTCATTGATAATTTTATATATTGATTACATATCAATATTTTGGATATGTAAAAACGTAAAATTAATTTAACCTATTTCTTCCTACTTTTGTAAATGTGGCTCCTAGAAAAATTTTAAATTACATATATGGCTCACATTCTATTTCTACTGGACAGCACTACTATAGAGGTAGCCTCCACTCAAACATAGTGAAAATCACCAGATTCCAGAAGATAAACTCCTCCCTAGGGTCCCAATTGTTTAAAAAAAAATTTTTTTTTAAGATTTTATTTATTTGAGAGAGTGAGAGAGAGCAAGAGAGGGAGAGCACAGAGGGAGGGGGAGGAGAAGCAGACTCCCCGCTGAGCAGGGAGCTTGATGCAGGGCTCATCCCAGGATCCAGAAATCATGACCTGAGCTGAAGGCAGACACTTAACCGACTAAGCCACCCAGGAAACCACCCCCCAATTGTTTTAATATTTACATTTTATGCCCTTAATATTTACATCTATCTTTCTTTTACTACAGGAGGAGTCCCTGAATGAAACTCCCTCTCCTTTTTTTTTCAAGATTTATTTGACAGAGAGAAAGCACGAGGCGACGAGGGGCAGAGGGATAGGGAGAAACTTTAGCAGACTCTGTGCTGAGCGAGGGGCTTGATGTTAGGACCCTGAGATCCAGACCTGAGCCAAAACCAAGAGTCCCATGCTTAAACAACTGTGCCACCCAGGCACCCCTGAATGAAAATTTCTATTCAGTTATCACAAAAAGCCAGGCTGTTCTACCTATTTCCCCAGTGACTATCAGTGTTCAGTTTTGGTATCCTATTTTCTATGTTTTGTTGGTGTATCATAGCCGTATGCCTTCCATTACAGAGTCAATAAACTCCTGTGCCTGGGGTGAAGGCTGGGGGCTGCATATAACACCTCCCCAAGGAAAGCTCAGGGGATATGTTAATGTGTTTGCAGAGTAAAAGAGGTAGTTTCCTCCTTCTTTAATTTGACAATGCTGCCTTGAAAAAACTTCTCCTGTACGTTTGTGGTTCTTAACCACTTACAGCTTATTTCCACTCTGAAAGCAGTCTGAAATCCTGGACTGACTTACTTCCCTGTAACAATAAAGTAGTGGGGCAGTACCTTGACCAGGTTTAGTCACTTTTAGTGACTGATGGCTACATGACAGAGTGGTGTGTGGGGACCCAGGAAGAAACCCTGTCATGTTGGGGTGGAAGAACCAAAAGCTAGAACTGACTGAGACAGAAGAGCTGTTGTTGTGACTGTATTTGCCCCTCATACCGGGGTCACTCAAGATATAACACCCATCACTACCACTCCAATGCAAAAAGGATAATTGTTCATAATTTTTTTTTTAAGATTTATTTATGTGAGAGAGAGAGAGCGCACAGGCTCAAGTGAAGAACTGAGGGGGAGGGAGAGAAAGAATCCTCAAGCCAACTCCTGGCTGAGCGTGGAGCCCAACTCTGGGCTGGATCCCAGGACCCTGAGATCATGACCTGAGCCAAAACCATGAGTTGGATGCTTAACCATAGGCTTAACTGCCCGAGCCACCCAGGTGCCCCAATTCATAGTTTTTTTTTAAATAAAATTTTTATTTTGGGATCATTTTAAATCTACAGAGAAGTTGCAAAGATAGTACAGGGGAATACCTGCATACCCTTTACTGTTTTTCCTATATTTAATGTCTGATATAACCATGGCACATTTGTCAAAACTAAGAAATTCACATTGGGGGTACCTGGGTGGCTCAGTCGTTTAAGTGTCTGCCTTCAGTTCAGATCATGATCCCAGGGTCCTGGGATTGAGTCTTGCATGGCCTCCCTGTTCAGCAGGGAGTCTGTTTCTCCCTCTCCCTTTACCCCTGCCCCTGCTTGTGCGTGCTCTCAATCTCTCAAATAAATAAAATCTTAAAAAAAAAAAAAATTAAATTCACATTGGTAGAATACTCTTAAACTATAGACTTTAATCTGATTTTACCATTAATGTCTTTCTACTGTTCTAGGACCCAACACATATGCCACATTGCATTTAGCATGCAAGCTTTTTATATACCAAGATCTCGCCCTATTTTACCATTCACGTTAATGTTTTTATTTCTCGGTATAGACTGTAAGGTTTTATTTCTGTGTGTATGCTTACTTATAATTCTGAAATAGTGTTTATTCATACTGGTGATGCCCACCAAAGACTACCCAGACATAGTTACGGTCAAACAATGAAGGGTTATTAGCGGCTGTACTGAGGGAGACCTCAAACCATGGGGAGTCTCAGGACGGGGGTGTTAAAGAGGGTTCATTATAGTATATGGGCTTCTGTTAAGTGATCTGGGGGAGGGTCCAAGGAAACAGGTTCTGTTCTGGTGCTGTCAGAAAGCAGGGGCAATTCAGGGACTAGCTTAATTTTTATCTAGAAAGCAGGAGGAATGGGACATTGCTTACGTTCATCAGGGAGGGCATCCAGGCCGGCTACCAACCGCGGCTCTCAGAGCTGCTTTTCTTAGTGCTGCACCTGATCGTAATTAAGACAGAAAGCAACAGAAGACTGCTTAGCAGCTTTTGGTACAGAAATGACAACTTTGGTCCCCGATACTGCTAATTCCAAATGTGTACATGTGCTTAACAAACAACTCCTCACCAAGGGCTGACAAGTTCAGTCTGTCTCATTTCGAGCAAAAAACACGGGTGGCCTGGATGTAGCAGGAACCCAAATGACATCGAACTGGCGCGTTTCTCCCGCAATGAACATCTCGGCCCCGGCACTTCGTCTCCCAGAACCAGGCCTGGGGCCAAAGCCCTGCCCTCCGGGGGAACCGGGGGCCAGGTGAAGCTACGCGACAACGCGGAGTAGCGACCCAAGAGCTGGGAGCACAGCCTGCGCCCGCTCCCCAAACTCTGCCCTTGGAGCCGCCTTTATGTCTCCGCTGTTCTCGGTTCCCTTTCTCCCTCGGCAGGAAACGACTCCCTTTTTCTCCTCTCACGGTGGTCTTCGATCTGGGCGTCTTTTGGGCTCAATGTTTGGGGTGCTTTTCAGTCTGTCCCTTCAGGGGCTCAGGAACGCTCTGCCGCACCGCTCCCCTCCGGCCCCCCTCCGCGGGCCCCGGCTCCCGCACACGCTTGGCTGACCAATCTCCGCTCGGAGCCGGGCGCGTCACAATGGCGCCCTCGCCGCCTCGCACCCGAGCGGGTCACTGAGGGTCCGCCCCGCCGCGCTCCATGCGTCCTTCCAGCCCCGTCTGCCTGGAGAAGGTGGGGTTCCGCGGGGAAACAGGCTAGCGATGACGGCGGGGGCGCGGGCTCCCGGGGCTGTTGCTCCTGGGTGCTGGGGTGCAGGGCCGAGCGGGAATCGGGCAAACCCCGAGCAGCGGGGCTGAGGTAAACGGCGCGTACGCCCGACGGGCGGGAGTTGTGCACTCGGGCCTGCCGCGCGCCAGACCCCGCCCCCCGGAGGCCCCGCCCAGGGCGCGCTGCCAGGGGTTTCCATGGTGATGGCAAATAAGCCTTAACGGCCTCAGCTACAACTGCCAAGTTCCCCGCGTTCCACCCTCCTCTAGGTGCTCAGAGGGACGATCGAGGTGCCGGATGTGAAGAGCGGGAGAGTGGAGGCTCGGAGCCCGAGGTGAGGGGCGGGACGGGCGGCGGGTCTGAGGCTGAGGGCCGCACAATTGGGACCGACCGGGAACTTGGCCCTCTGGGGGTGGGGACAGCGGGACTGAGATTTGGAGTGTATGTTGGGCAGTGGGGTTTCGTTGTAGAGGGAGCCAAGTGAGGGAATCGCTAGTCCATCTGGGGAGATGAAGACAAGGGGATCCAGAGGGACCGAGTTTGAGGAATCCCTTCCTTAGGCCAGGGATGTCGGGGGAGTCCTAGACGGTGGGCATCCCAGGACCTGCAGGTCTGCGACGTCTGCGCCAGCCTGAGGGACACCTTTAAGGGTAGTGAGACGTGGCGGGGGGTGGGGAGGGTGGAGGCTCTTAATTAATTAAAGGCAGTACTTTCACATATTCAAGAGTCACAAACTTGCACAAGGCTTTATTACTCAAAAACTTTCTTCTCTCTATAGCCCCATTTCCTGCCTCCCTGAGGAAATATTTTCAAGCCTTTGAACTTTTCTTCTCCAGAAATTTTACTTCTTCCTCTTCTATCTGCATCTCCTCTCTGTGGTCTTCCTTTATCTGCTTCACTAAATTTGAACACTTCAGTCTGAAATATTTCCTCATTGATTTCCTTTGCCTCTTGGTCAGGCTTTGCTGCTTCCTGCTGTATATATATATATACATATATATATTATAATATATTATAAAACACTGTTTTCTTCAGTGCCTTTCTTTTGTTAATTAGCCTTGTCTGTTGTCTTCACAGGATTATTCTAAGACCAAGCATAAAGCTATAATATTTTTGCTGTTTTATGGTATTCCATTTAATAAGCAGGCAACACTCCACTATTCTGTTAAAGGACATATAGGTTGTTTCCAGTTTGGGATATTATAAACAGTGGTGCTTTGAACCAGCATGTGACTTCTGGGGCACCAGTGATGTGGGAACAAAGGCAGAAGGAAATGTAGATAAAATTAAATGTCCATATAGCCTGCAGCCCATTGACAAATACTTAAGACAGGCAGAGTATAACCTTCCTCCAGGAAGCTCCCAACTGTTTTAATGTTAATGACTTGCTAGAGGGAAAAACAATCTTGGTTTGACAATAGCGAGGTCGCTGGTATCCTGTGTTCTTTAGCATATGAAGATCCTTTAGAACTTCCCTTATCTCAAGAATTCTTTCTTGGTCCTCAGCTCTGGAGCTCACCCCACCAAACCTCACCTATGTTCCAAAACTATGTTAGATGTGCCAGACTTACTTTAGATTATACCTACAGTGGAATTCCTGGGTTATAGGATTTGCCCACATTTAACTTCATCACGTAAAGATACTTTGTAAAACAGTTGTGCCAGTTTACCTCCTAAAGCCAGTGGGATTGCTAGATTAGAGAGTGAGTAAATATTTAATTTTGTAAGCAATTACCAAACTCTTCCAAAGTGTCTGTATCATTTTGCATTCCCATTAGCAATGCATGAGAGTTCCAGTTGCTTTACATCTTCACTAGTACTTGATACTGTCAATTTTAAAAACTTAAAATATTTTTTAGCCATTTTAATGGAGTATATGGCCATATATTATTATGACTTTAATTTGCATGTCTCTAATAGCTGATAATGTTGATTATCTTTTCATGAGCTTATTTGTCATCCTTATATCCCTTTGTAAATATCTGGACAAGTGTTTTTCCCATTTTAAAAAATTGAGCTGTTTCCTTTCTGTTGAGTTTTGACAGTCCTTATTCTATCTTAATATAGGTCCAGGGGCACCAGGTGGTTCCAGTTGGTTAAGCATCTGCCTTCAACTCAGGTCATGATCCCAGAGTCCTGGGATCAAAGCCCCCATCAGGCTCCCTGCTCAGCGGGGAGCCTGCTTCTCCCTCTCCCTCTGCCTCTTCGCTCTGCTCCTGCTCTCTCAAATAAATAAATCTTTATAAGTAAATCAATAGATCACTAAATACAGGTCCAAATGCGTGATTTACAAAATTTTCTTTCAATTTGTAGTTTATCTTCTCCTAACAGTGCTGCAGAGCAAAAAAGATTTTAATTTTGATGAAGTCAAGATTCTCAACTTTTTCTTTTATGGATCTTGCTTTTAGTATTCTAACTGTTAACATAGCACTAGGTCTTGAAGATTTTCCACCTATATTTTCTTTTAAAAGTGTTACAATTTTCCATTTTACATATAAATTTCATTTTGAGTTTTTTTAATGAGGTATGAGATTTAGATCAAGTTTCTCTTTTAAAAAATTTTTAAATTTATTTTCTCTTTTTTTAATTAAAAAAGTACTTTTAAAAAAAATTTAACTAAACTCTATGCCACGTGTGGGCCTTGAACTCACGGCCCCAAGATCAAGAGTCACATGCTTTACTGACTGAGCTAGTTAGGCACCACATCTTTTTTCCCTTTATATCCAGAGATAGGCAGAAAAATGGATATACAACTGTTCCAGCACCATTTGTTGAAAAGACTACTTCCTCTACTAAATTGCCTTTGCTCCATTGTAAGAAATCATTATTTTTAAAAATTATTTATTTTTTAAATAAAGATTTTTTTTTTAAGATTTTATTTATTTGACAGAGAAAGACAGCGAGAGAGGGAAACAAGCAGGGGGAGTGGGAGAGGGAGAAGCAAGACTCCCACGAGCAGGGAGCCGGATGCAGGGCTCGATCCCAGGACCCTGAGATCATGACCTGAGCCAAAGGCAGTCGCTTAACCGGCTAAGCCACCCAGGCGCCCCTAAATAAAGATTTTATTTATCTGAGAGAGAGAGCTCAAGCAGGGGGAGCAGCAGACAGAGAGGGAGAAGCAGGCTCCCCCCTGAGCAGGGAGAGCGATGTGTGGGGCTCCATCCCAGAATCATGACCTGAGCCGAAGGCAGACACTTAACCGACTGAGCCACCCAGGGGCGCCCCTATTTATTTATTTTTTGAGAAGATTTATTTATTTTAGAAAGAGCACACTGAACGTATGTTGTGGGGGAGGGGCAGAGGGAGAGAATCCCAAGCGGACTCCAAGCTGAGTGTGGAGCTCAACGTGGGGCTCCATCCCAGGACCCTGAAATCATCACCCAAGCCATAACCAAGAGTCAGACACTTAACCTTAACTGACTGAGCCAGCCAAGCACCCCTTTTTATTTAATTTTAATGATCTCTACACCCAATGTGGGGCTTGAACTGAGGACTCCTGAGATGAAGAGGCACATGCTAGATGTACCTACTGAGCCAGCCAGATGCCCCTGTCGCAAGACATCAAGTGGCCATATCTGTGTGGGTCTAGATCTGGACTCTTCTCTGTTCAACTGATTTATCTGAGTATCCTTTCATCAATACTTAATTGTCTTCACTGCAACTTTATGCTGATTTCTAAACTTGTGTGTAATGAGTTCAACTTTATTCATCTTTTTCAGAATTATTTGGTTATTGTTCCTTTGCCTTTCCATATACATTTTAGAATGTCTATATCTTATAAAAAATATTGCTGGGATTTTGATAGGAAATATGTTAAACCTATATATCATTTTGGGAGAGAATTGACATCTATCTGTACTATGTTGAGTCTTCCAATCTCTGAATACAGTATGTCGTTCATTTACTTAAATCTTTTTGGATTTCTTTCATAAGTATTTTGTAGTTTTTAGCATACCGGTCCTACCTATGTATTGTTACGTAACATTTGTTAGATACCTAAGTATTTTAATTTTGGTGAGCTATCATAAATGGTGTTATATTTTTAATTTAAATTTCCACATATTTGGGGGTGCCTGGGTGGCTCAGTCGTTAAGTGCCTGCCTTTGGCTTGAGTCATGATCCCAGGCTCCTGGGATCGAGCCCCGCATCGGGCTCCCTGCTCTGCGGGAAGCCTGCTTCTCCCTCTCCCACTCCCCCTGCTTGTGTTCCTGCTCTCGCTATCTCTCTCTGTCAAATAAATAAATAAAATCTTTAAAAAATAAAATAAAATAAAATCCTTGTTAGGTATTGCAGATATTGGGGTTGATAGTGGTTTTCTTTTCTCATTCAAGTGGCTATTTCATTGCTCTTAGTATGACATTTCGTTAAAATTGGATCCTGGACATTTTGAGCTATTTTTTGAGGCTCAAGCTCTTAATAAATCTTCTGGTTTTTTGTTTAAGATTTATTTATTTATTTTTGTTTTTATTTATTTAAAGATTTTATTTATT